ACTTCAGTGAGGTCCTTCTTTTTGCTTCGCGCTTCGAAGTCCATTGTCGTTCCTATAGAGCGATTCTGCGGCCTCCGTAGCACGTGCCCATACCATCGTGTAGAGCGAAGCTGCCTTTCGTGGTTCTTGTTCAGGGGCCAGCACTCGCTGCCGTATAGCATCGCAGGCCTACCACTGTCCGGTACACCTTCCCTTTGAGCGTTCTGGAGCACCTTCGATCGCAGAGGATTCCAGTGGACTCCCTCCATTTCATCCATGCCGCGTTGATTCGTGCCTTTACTGCCTGATCCACACTGCCGTCGGCTGCCAGATCGCTCCCAAGGTATCGGAAGTCCTCCACTCTTTCGATGCTTTCACCATGGCCGTCCACGATCGGCTCTGCACCCTCTTCAGAGCTCAGGAACTTGGTCTTCTTGACATTCAGCCGGAGCCCGCCTTCTGCCAGGACTTTCTGCCATTTCTGCACCTTGGCCTGTAGTTCTTCTCTGCTATCCGCTATCAGGCGATGTCGTCAGCGTAGAGGATGGTCTTCAGTGGCCCTTCCTATGAGCCCCTTCACCAGGACGTCTAGTGTCAGGAGGAAGAGGAGCCGAATCGGTGAAACGTTAGCCGTCAAATCACTATCCACCTATTAAGCCGTTGACTATAATGAAGTCGCACTATCACTATGCCAAGGTTTATCGGGAAAATGGCAATGAAGAGGAACGCGTTATGCTAAACTGGTACAAGATGGCCATACGCTGGTAACGCCACATAATTAAGACAACAAACTACCCCTGTGGACAAGTTGTGGAGAAAATACAAATTTTGATCAACCTATGGGAAAGTTACCCCATGTGTACCAATCAGGAATGCTGACGGAAGGGTCGGAAAAAGGCTCGTTGTTGTCCAGCAACAAAAAAAGAAGGTACTTACTCGGAGCCAACACTGGGAGACAACGAGCATGACGGGCCAAGGCGCAAAAACAATACAAGGCATAGGTTCGCTTTTTTGTCATGAAGTATGGATAGGTTCGTGCCCCTTTCCACTGGCTAGGGTTCCTGTGGATAGACGCGTCGGTTTCCAGGGCCTTGAAGTGAGCCTGACGCACCTCACGGAAAGAAAAACCCCATGAATCACCACCCTTATGTACCGTACTTAGTTTCCGTGCCGTCTATCATCGTTGATGCAACCTAATATGAACACAACCATGAATACCTACCACGTAGATCCCAGACTTGTAATGTGCGAAGTCTTCATAAGTGGCGAACGACGCCTGAACTGGTCCTCTAGCGAAGATTTCTGCTCGGATGGCAGCTTCATCACTGCTGACACGATAAGCATCAGTGGCTGGAAGCAAAAGCAGATTAGCCTGGCAATTTAAGGAGAATGGTTCAAACTTAAAGGTATATGATGCTATAAATTGTTCGTTGGCTGGGAGTGATAGAAGAGACATTGATAGCGGCAAAAAAAGGGTATCCGACAGGAGGCGCGACAAGAAAGCAGAGTCAGCGGACGAGTCAGCTCATGATGTACGATATAGGGCGTACAATGGTAAATTCT